TACAACATGCATGGCTTACGGAGGAAAGATTCTTATTCCACTTCCCCATGGATATAAAAGGACAAGTAATAAGAACTATTAAGATAAAATCAAAGAAAACTCAGATGAGTGTGTATAAATAAACGCATACATGTATGTGTAGTGTGACCTAAGTGTAAGTAGAAGTAGCAAGATGTACCTGTAATCTTGCATATTTATGAGACAGACAAGAGACACCAGCAATCCTACCATCATGTAAAACAATTACAGGCTCTCGTTTTACACTCACTTGGCAGAACGGTAGTACCTCCCTGGGTGGTTGCTGTCTACCAACGTACTACCTACTTTTATTATACTACTATTATATTATTATTTGGAGGGGCTTGGGGCTGGCTGATGAAATTTTGGGGGCCGAATGCCATTTTTTCCACTTATAAATGCGTATAAATGCTAAGTAACATGTTTACACTTACATATAATAAGTTAGCAATAGAACTAAGTATTAAAAAACAATAAAAAGTAAAATACACACAGTGGACTCATTACTTACAAAGAAGGCCACTAGCATGCCTAGGCATTTTGGGCAGACTTGTCCTAATTCTTCTTACTCTGTATTGACACAGGTTATGGAACAGTACATTTTAACATACATTATTGCATACTGATATAAACGTTAGGTAACTGAAGTGATTAATTAAATTTATAATAGTGAGGTGGTAATATATGACATATAATGCACCTTAGAGTGATTCTTATTGTGTATAATTATTATTATCATTATTAATATGCCATCTTCAAGACTAATAAGACACACTCAGTGATTTTAATGTGTACCTGCACACCAGCACAGTGTGTAAGGTTATTTAGGTATAGGTACTGTACATGTAAGTATAATTATCAGAGTATACAGGTCTCCCTCAACATTCGTGTTTTCAACTTTCGCGGGCTTCACACATTCGCAAATTCCCAACCGCCAAATCATATTTATGTTGAGGACTTTGAAGTTGATGAACGATATTGAAAGAGGCATAATTCCCTACAAAACTCTGTAAATATGAAGAAACGGTCTCAGTTCCCCATCACAATGTTCTTTACAAGGAAGTCTGCCACTACAGTCCCCATCCCTTTACCCAAGGTCCTATCTATGCTAAAACCTTGGGTAGTTTTAAATTTGGGTTCGATAAATACATGAGTGGGAGGGGTTGGATTTCAGTGGGACTTGCACGTGAGTAAATAGAATTATCAAAGCTTAGGTAGCATTGAAAATTGAGATGGGAAAATATTCTGTTAATGTGATGGATTTTGAAGGACCTGCCTAGTATGGGCCAGCAGTGTTCCTCCTTCCTTATGTTTATATGTTCTTATAACCATACTAGGCAGACTGTTGCACTCATCAGCATAAGAACATAAGAAAGGAGGAACACTGTAGTAGGCCTGTTGGCCTATACTTGGCAGGTCCTTAACAAATCCAACCCACTAACAGAATAAACGCTTACCAAGCAATAAGCTTTGATAATTCTATCTACTCATGTCCAAGTCCCACTCAAATCCAACCTCTCTCACTCATGTATTTATCCAACCTAAATTTGAAACTACCCAAGATTTTAGCTTCGATTGGACCTTGGGTAGCTTTAAAAAGAGATTGGACAAATACATGGGGGGAGGAGCATGTATGTATATACAATATATATTTTACGATGTTTTCATGTATTTTATGATTGTTTATGGTTCAATAGGTTAAGGAAGCAGTATTGTATTAGATTTTCCTACAATATACAGTGGACCCCCGCCTTATGATATTAATCCGTTCATGAGAGCTCATCGTAAGACGAAATTATCGTATGGCGAATTAATTTTCCCCATAAGAAATAACGGAAATCAAATTTTACCACATGAAATATTAATTTTAATACACACAAACTTAAGAAGACATGCACAGTTAATACTCTACTAAGAATACAATACATGACACTTACCTTTATTGAAGATCTGGTGATGATTGATGGGATGGGAGGAGGGGAGAGTGTGGAAGTTGTTATTGTTTAGAAGGGGAATCCCCTTCCGGGGTTACTTACCTTCTTCTTTTAATGCCACTAGGACCAGCTTGAGAGTCACTGGACCTCTGTCACACAACAAATCTGTCCATAGTGGTCTGTACCTCCCATTCCTTTAAGATTTGCCTAAAATGGGCCACAACATTGTCATTGTAATAGTCACCAGCACAGCTTGCAATAGCTGTGTTAGGGTGATTTTCATCCATAAAAGTTTGCACTTCAACCCACTTTGCAGACATTTCCTTAATCTTTGAAGTAGGCACAATGGATTCCATAACTGGCATAGGCTTCTCAGGGTTAGCCCCAAACCCTTCAAAATCTTTCTTAATTTCCATACTAATTCTCACCCTTTTTACCACTGGGTTGGCACTAAAAGCTTTCTTGGGGCCCATGGTGACTTATTTTGCAGCTGCAATCACTAAAAACACTGTGATAATATGAAATGTACTGAATGTATGCATGGATGCGACTGCACTGGCTGGCTTGTAAACACTGGCACCCACGGGGCAGCTGAGGCCACGCGTGGGACCCGTCCCGGATGAATTGTGCGAGGCGAGGCAAAATTTTTGCGTTCAAATGTATCGTATGGCGGATTTAACGTAACGCGATGTCATCGTAAGGCGGGGGTCCACTGTATTGGGGCACCAAACATTCACGATTTTTCAACATTTGCGAGGCTCTTGATCCCCAAACCCTCTTGAATGTTGAGGGAGACCTGTATATAAAATATGAAATACTGTAACTTTAAAATACTTGAAGTTTTGGAAAGTTTCCAGATATAATGGAGAGACGCAGAGCTAATGGGGAATGTAAACCAACTAAGTGGCGCATGGTGACCATATTAGAGTCAGGTGGGGGAGCCGTATAGCAAGTTTTGGTCACAATTTGAAATGTCTGTATTAGTAGAATGCCGTAAGGCAAAAAAGCTGTAAAGTGGGGCCCTACTGTACTCTGATATATACGTCTGTTTTACCTCTTGAGATAATTTTTTTTTCTTTCCACAGATACCCTAACACACCACTTATCTTTTTTTTCCCTTCATTTGTTCTCTAGTTCACTCCATTTTTCACAAACCTATCTGTCAACAAGTCCATTCCCAATTATCTAAATACATTAACTTTCAATTATTTCTTTTATAAAAGGTCAGCCAAAAGTGTGTAAAAAAAGAAAGAAAGAAAAATATCCAGTAAGGCTGGGACTGGCTTTGTTTACAATTCAGACAGACACCAGTAAACCTCAAGTATTTTTTTCTAAACAGATTATAGATTAGTGCTGAAGATTAGGTGTTGTTCTCCTAAAATGTGCCTATGAATGTCTTTTGTTCCCATGTACTAACACTCTGTGTGCGCATTATCGCTCTTGACCACAATTCTAGAGTGGTATATTGATGTCTTTTCTCCCTATAGTCCCCTCAAGGAAGGTTCCTTGATGTTGGTGAGGGGCTCTTGATTTAGGGAATTGGATCTGTGCTCCAGTTCCCCGAATTAAGCCTGAATGCCTTCCACATCCCCCCCAGGCGCTGTATAATCCTCCGGGTTTAGCGCTTCCCCCTTGATTATAATAATAATAATTCTCCCTATAGTTTCTGTTATGGATATCCTAGAGTAAATTTTTAAACTATTATATAATTACTATGACCTATGATTCTTTACTAGCACTCACTAACACTGATACAGTGACTTCATAATTTAGCAATACATTTAACTTTCTTTTGATTATTATTATAATCATGGGGAAGCGTTAAACCCGTAGGATTATACAGCGCTTGGGGAGAGGAATGGAAGGTATTCAGTCAGGGAACTGGAACACAGATCAAATTCCTTAGATCAAGAACCCCTCACCAGCATCAAGGAACCTCCCTTGAGGGACTTTTTCATATTTATTAGTGTACCCTTATATAGTACATCCTCTCCTCACTTAACGATTGGGTTATGTTCCTAAGAGTAGGTCGGTAAGTGAATTGGTCATTAAGTGAGGAGCATATTATACTGGTAGTGGGTTTGTGTCAACCATCTTTAGATATTTTTTTAATGTCACCATTTATAACATTTCTGGTATATTTTTAAATGTGTATACAGTAGTTTACTGTATATTGTAAAAAAGTGAATAGAGGAAATCAGCTCTTATATACATTATTTAGGTTTGCATACTAGTTGGAGAGCTGGTCATAAGTCTGAGTGGTTGGTAAATAAGTACATTGCTAAGTGAGGAGAAGCTGTATTTAGTTTTGCAGTATTCAGCCAACAGTCACTAATTTTATCTTCATTGCTTCTGAATTAGTCGTTAATTTAAACAACCATGTAGCCAGTGTGTTTCAGTTCTGCTTGTCTTCTAGGTTTCCTGTATTGATCATGGGTTGTATGGATTTCAGTGCACACTTTTACTTGCTGCAATAAAGTTGCTAATGTTTGTGATTGCATTTCACTTTAAGTTCCAAATGTGGTCATTTGTTGGATTCTGCTTGTTGGTGCTCTACCCAGGTGAATAGTGCTGTTGACCTCTTCTGGCAGTTGATATCTTCATTGATACTCTACCACCACTTGGTTACACTGTATATTTATTATTATAAATAGAGCCATATGGTAAGATATCTTTCTCATTATTTACATGATTATGTTAATATCTCTTGGTTGACCTCTTCTTTTTATAGCATTTTGCTAGTTTAATTCACTACATTATTAATCTTTCCTAGTGACAAGAAGGTTAATTAGTGTTAATATTTAGCAGTACATACCTGTACTGTACACTACCTGGTGTATTCTGTGAGTACACAGACCACTTCTCAGTGTGTGTTCACCACCATTACCATTCCCATTTACAGTATAGTATGTATATGAAATTTTTTCTTCTGATTTAAATGCATTTTATTATTATTTTGGATTGTTTCTTTTTTGTATACCAGTGATAAAATTCAAAAAGCAAAGAAATAATGTAGTTTAGAATACTGATAGATATGAATTATTTCAGTTGGTGATACATCCGTTATTGTGGTTGTTGGCAAGAATGCAATTATGGCCATTGGAAAACCAGTACCATCATCAGTATTACACACTTCCACTACAAGAGATGAAAACTATGGTAAAGGCAGCTTACATTGGTCTACAAGAACTCTTACAACAGCTGCAGTAACATGTTATGGTCAGAAGAATGCTCTTGTTTTTTCTGATGGTGTTTCATGCTGGCTGTGTCGTATTACTGCTGTAGGCGGTGATGAAATGGAAGTGGAGTGCCATGAGTTATCATATAATGGAGTTATGCAAATTACTTGTAAAAACATGGACTGTATTGAAATGTTAACATGTGATG